CGCCCCACCGCCCCCGCCCCCCCCTCTGCAGGGCCTGCCCCGAGACGCGGCAAGCACCTTGGAAGAGAAGGAACCGGAGGGATCCCCCCCGCAAGAGACGCTCGCTGCGCCCTCAAGGACACTTCCCGGAGCTTTCCCGACGGATGAGAATCTGACGGACGCGGATCCTCGCCACAGATAACTGCTCGGTGGCAGTACTTCCCCCAGAAGGCAGAGGAGCCGAGATGCGTTCCCGGTCCCAGGCAGCTTACGGGAATTTTGGCCGTCGGTAATGACAGCAGAGAGAGGCAGGATGCCGTAGCATCACAGCGAAGAGAACGCGCCCGTCTCGGCCACAGCCACGCGGCCACAGCTCTGTGCATAAGTAGTAACTGAGGAGTAACGCCTTTGTAACCGAGACAACAGCTTCATTACGTACGCCCAGGCTTTTTAGAAAAAGCGAGTTTCAATTCTGGTCAGTGCAGTGCCCCGCAACCAGTCTGTACCAACACACCCCCTCGCTACGTCCACGGCAAGAAGTTGCAGTGCAGAATCAGTCCCAGCAGCCAGTAGGACAAGAAGAATCCAAGAACGCATTTGCCGAGGGGGGTAATGAATCTACGGTTCAGCAGCAGCCTCACGATGGGGTTTTCAGAAGTCCCTTTCCCACAGGAACCGGGAGATTTACCTAAAAGAGACTTCTCGGAGCGAGGTGCTGCGGTTTGATTATCAGTCCCTTCGCTCCAGAGTAAAGGTTCGTGTTCTTGAAGCAGGTGAGCGGAGAACCAGTACAGGACGGGAGAGGAGGAGCCAAGGAACCGGGTCAGCACCTGAAGACGACAGGCAGAGCAAAAAATCACATAAATTGCCGGTCTCCGACTGTGAGCGGCCCTGATCCCGAGGCATGGAAGGAGCCATCCATCTGCCTCAGACCGCTGATAAAGGGGACCGAAATACGGCCCCAATTCACGGCGCTAGGATTTATTGCATTGAAACGAAACACCTCTCAGCTCAACCTGCTTTATTTATTACGACATTTGTGTAAGCAGTCGAGCGGTCCCCAGGTTTTGGGCGAGCACGGTAACTAATTGTCACTCTTTGTCACCGTCCAGCTCAGGAGCTGGGCAGGGGCAGCAGCTTCAGGGGAGATCTGAATCTCACTCTTCAATTATTTTTTCCACTGGAACCCCCAACCTTTAGTGCCACTAGCCGTGTCCTAAAAAGACCTTCAAACACTTTATTAGAGACTGGCGACAGGCTCTGGCTCCTTTCATTGCCATCCACTACGCTCGGCCCAACATAATGACCCGGTACGCTCATCCTCCGACAGCCGATTAGCGGGGCTTGGCAAGCCTGGCCTTAAGCCACCTAACACCAGCCGGACCCTTTGATCCCCGTCCCGGCGTCCTCATCGCGCCGAGCACCTGGCAAGCTCTCTTCAGGAACTCTCCAGCAGAGCGGAGGAACTAACTGGCTTTGGAAACTCTCTGCAGAAGTAGCTCCGATAGAGGAAAGGCGAAGCTTTTGGTTTGCATTGCCCCGTGCTGCCCTGCAGCTGGGACAGCTTCAGGCTTGTGACTGTCGCTGCCTCAGCCACCATGCTGCACTCCCCTTAAGAAACCACTCCTGTGGGTTGCTATGAACGTCCTACCTGCACGTGCATGCAGAAGAATCCAAACGCCAGCAGGACTGTGGCATGGACCACGTACACGAAGACAGCCGGGCAGCAAAATCCAGCTCTTGGTTTACCCTCTTCTTCGCTCTTTCTTCTCTCTAGACCAAGAGTTACGCAGTGCCGGGGGTTTGCGATGATGTAGGTCCAGGCAGCCCACGAGCCCAGGAGTGTGACAGGCAAAGCAAGCAAGAAATTTGGTATCTGCCTGAGCTCAAAATACCTCAGAAAGCCCACGTTCCAGTAAGCGTCTTGAATATAGGAATAGACAACGGGGAATCGCTGGGAGCACCACGGGGGTTTAACCCCGTCCATGGCCGCCAGACGATAGCCCTTATCCAGAGCCAGCTGCAGCAGCGGCTTGGGAACAGCCTGCTCCAGGCCGGTGCCAGGACCACAGAACCTCACGTAGGCATAATACTGAAATAAAGCAAAAGGCAGAAAAATCCCGGCACACATCAGAACCGCTGAAGACGCCACGCTAAGGAGTTGCTTCCACAACGGAGGGAGCTTCCTTACTGATCCTGAACCCACCTGGAGCTGGAGGGCGAAGCATTTACCGCGGGAGTAGAGAAAGAAGCCAGCATTAATAAGCCCGTTGGCACGCACCCCAGAAGCAAGGGAGAAGAGCAGTCCGCTGAGCCAGCTCTGCCCCTTCTCCAGTTGCCACATGGCACTGAATGCCAGGAAGGCAAACATGCTCTCTGAGTAAGCAGCTGCCATAAATACGTTGGCAGGGCTGACGGAAAAGAGAACGGCAGCAAGGAAAGCCACCCTGCGACACTGCAGCACGACGCAGCCCAGCTTATACAGGGCAGCGGCTGCCAGGACAGAAAAGAGAGAATTAAGAAGCACAGCTGATAGCAGGAGGCGGCTCCGCAAACGCAGCAGCCGCTGCAAGGGCCAGAGAGCACCCTCGGCCACGGCACGGACGCTCAGGGGGTACAGCGGGAAGAAGGCGCAGTTGTGCTCGTACAGGTAACCGCGCTCGGCGATGAAGAGGAAGTGCTCTGCATCCCAGTGCGAGAGGCCTCCCAGCAGCCGCTCCAAGAGCAGGTCCCACAGGCCAGGCTCGGACAGGCGAGGGGGATGGAAGGCGTCTGCAGCGTGATCTGGGATCAGGAGGTTAAACAGAGCCTGGAAAAAGAAGAGAGGACTGGAGTCCAGCAGACATCCTCTTGTACCCTACCGAAAGCAGGAGGAGGACCCCCGGGTTTCAAAGGGGACAAGAGGAGCACAGAAGCCAGGCTGAGGGGCTTTGCAGCAAGGACGCCTGTAAGACTGTGAAAAGGTGCAAACGCAATCTTTCGAACTGAATAAAGCTCTGGAACACAGCCAGCAGGAGTCCCCACGGAACTGGACGGGGAAAGCTGCTCAGCCCCATGCTCAGGCGCATCTAACCGCGTACGCTCACACCAGGTACCTCTGCAGCACTGGTAAGCCTCCCGTTCTACTCAGTTTGGCATTATTGTCCCAGCTGATGTACAAGGGAGAGGAGACAGAACTAGAGAAAACCACTTTCCCAGAGCAAACTGACGCAGAAGACAGTAGCTGATTCCTAGGCCACCTCTCTAGTCTCTAGATCACTCCTCCACCTCTGCAGCTCAGCGTGTGCCGAGGGGTTCGCTTTCCGGAGATGAGCAAGCAGCACGCACACACCTCTGCCTCCAGGAGCTTGTGGTGCTGACCATATTTTAAAAGGCGAGAGAAAAACCCAGAGAGCTCATGAGACAGGAGGTAGGCAACTTAACGCATTGTAACGTAATTCCAAATGAAAATATGTTTTAAAAAACCCTCCCCAAACCCCCAGAAAACTCAGATGGTAAATTTTGTAGCTTGGGATGAGCCCCCTGCAATTAATTCAGCGTTGGCAGAGAAAAGGGAAAAGGCCACACTGAACAAATTGGGACTAAAAGACACACAAAGCCGCCGTTTCACCACGAAGCACACATCTGGTCTAACCGGGCCTCTGGCATTTGTAACACGGAATCTTTCAATCTCAGCTGATGGTTCCACTCAGCCTTACCCGGCGGTGGCCGGGGCTGCCGCAATCTGCCAGCTGGCTGGTGGCCTGCGGCTAAAGAGCTTTCTCAGGCTGATTTTGTTTCAGGAGGGCCAGGGCTACAGCTAGGCTCTTTGCTGGCGCTCTCGGTAGGCACAGGTAGGATGGAGTGAGCAACCGAGCTCTCCCGTGCTCCGAGAGGGATGTCTCTGGAAATGAGACTTGGGAGGAATGCGCAGGAGGAGATTATAGTTCCTCTTCCGCGGATAAACAGAGACTTCGGCCTCTCGTGCTGCCAAGCTGGCCTCTTGCAACAGCAGCATGAAAACACAGTAAAGTTGCAAGGAAATTTATGTAATTTTACTTAACAGCACCCTGCCTCCCTGGATGCAGCTGGTCTGTTGGTTCTCCAAAGGAGAAGACAATTTCCCAGTCGAGCAGAACCAGCTAGCTCACGGTGCACAAGGCAGTACCGAAGAGAGAAGCCTCGGAGCAGCAAACAACAGATGTCGCAGCGTCTTTGGTTCAGGAACGGGAGACTTGCCTGCAGGAGAAGCGTCAGGGCTCTGCAGCACGCCGCAAACCACACGACCTCTCGGAGGTGGGGGTCTGGCCTGCTCACCAGCTCCATTCTGAGCGTGAAAGTTGTCTCAGTAGGTCACTGATGCCAGGGAAATTCTCCCTCCGGTTTCGGAAACCTGAATGATAAACAGAGAGCACAGACACAGAAAGGTATTTCTGGCTTCAGCCGTGTTTGTAAATTATGCGCCTTTATTTACTCCCAGGCACTTCAAAGGGCTGCAAATCTCTGTGAACAAGAAAGTCACTTATGAAAGAGATCACGGATCTGGGAGATGACGCAGAAGACCTCTTTGATATTGTTCCTATTAAAAAAAAAAAATTCCCCTGACTTCTCAAGCTCGGCCAGGATGCAGAGGGAGAGAGGTTATAACGTGTCCTCTCGGCCCATTCCTTACCGGGCCAGTGTCAATACCAGAAGCAGACAGGCTCGTCGGCCTCCTCAGCGGCCGCCTCAGCAGAAACACCAGCGGCTCAAGCCAGGACTCCGCCAAGCATCGCCGCACACGTTCCAGTTCCAGTGCACCGAATGGGATTTAAACCTTTTTTTTTTTTTTTTTTTGATTTTTGGAATAGGGACTGAATTAAAACGTGGACTCTGAGCGTAACATCCGTGTGAGCAGTTTGCTGACTGGGGCTCGCAGCCGGCCAGGCGCTGCCGGGCACGCTCTCTCCTCTCTCCTGCTCTCTGCCCAGCCTTTGCCCCTGGGAAGCCGAGAACGGCTTTCTTCAGGGCTGCCGCCGCGGCACCGACCCCGCAAGCTCCGTCAGAGCAAGGCTAAGGTGCCTTCTCAGGTACCCAGGCTTCCTCCCAGCCCTTCCAGCGACCGCAGACGGCATCTCCAGGACGTGACATTCGCGCCGCTCCACCCTTTCCACCTGTAATTTTCCAATTATTTGGCAGGGGTCCCGGTCTCCAGAGCGAGGGCATCTGCCTGTCAGGCAACTTGCACATGCCAAGGTGGCTCTCTTCCACCCCTCCCCTGCAAACCTCACCGGCAAGATTTAAAACGCTTCGTGGAGCCTCGCTGCTTTCGTTTCTGTACGTTCTGGATCGACGTTCTGGGACCAGCTACGAAAACTACCGGCCCAGAGCCACAAAAGGCAGGCAGTGTCTGTTATGCAGCTTTTTAAGATAACGCATTTCTTCCGTTGGTTCCCCAGCCACCAACTGCTTTTCAGTTTGAGAAACAGAAGACCCACAGCTCTCGCTAGGTTCCACTGACACCACATCCTGCGCTATTTCCCACCTGCCATCTTCCCGATCCAGCCCCTTACAATACAAAGAGATTCCCCCAAACGATCTCAAAACGCGCTGAGCTTTTCCTATTCCCATTTTACTGACGGAGAAAAAAAAACCTGGCAGGTTAAAAACTGCGTGAGAGGGCAGAAAACAAGCCGTCAGCAAAGCAAAAAAACAAGACCCAAATACGCTCATTTACGGTTCCAGTCCCTAACCCCGGGATTACGCTCCATTTAGCCACATGCAAAAGTTTGGGGTTTGCTCACATTCCCCTCTTGCTCCCGAGCATTCACAGCTACAGACAAAGCAACTAGCGGGAGGCACGGTCTCCCGAATCATGAAGCTGCAATGTTATTTTAAGAGAGGGGATACTTCAGCCCAGCTGTAAATTCTATTAAAGCGCATTCACAGCTGCAAATCCTCTTAAAGCACAGCGGCAAAAATTGTCTCGGCGCTTTAAATATTTTTTTAAAAAGCCGAGAAATAGCTTCGCGTGAAGGTGCCAAGAAGGCTCAAAGCAAACAGCTTTAAAAAGCCTGTTCCCGTCACGACGCGGCACACCTTGTAACGGAAAGCTGCGAAGACTACAAAAAGCTGCAGCCCACAACCACCGTTCCGGCAGAGAACAGAGCGTCAGAGCTGGAATGTCTCTGCCCCGAAAAGCGCTGCGTGAAAGAGCACCTGCACGAACGGAAAAAGGACGCGAAAAGGCAGAAGCGGGTTAAAAACCTTTCAGTAGAAAAAGATGCAAAGTCTTTAATTAAAGACGTCTTTCTCTCCGTGTTCTGCGTTCCCCTTCGCGCTCACATAGGAATCGCCTTTCGCTCACTCGGGAAAGCGTGCTAGAAAAAGGACGCGAAACACGAACAAAACAGACGCTGGGGAAATTATCACGTAAATGAAAATATGAATTCGGCACGGTCTGTGACGATGCAGCGGAGCCCGATTACCACCCGGTGGCAGCAGGCACTCGCCACAGAAGCATTTCCTCCCTCCGCACGCCCGGCAATCGGCTCCTGGCTGGGGTGTAGGATTCCTAACGGGAAACCTGCTCCAGCCCGCACCCCAGGAACACTCGGAGGGCGACGGTTTGGGCGTCCCTCGGTACTTCTCCGACCTGCCGTTAGACTCACGAGATAGTCCAGAGGTGTTTAACCAGGTTCTAACCGGGATGCCAAAGGAATTAAGACCGAGTTTTGGAAACCCCGTTCGCCTAGCGCTGTTCCGGTGGGCCTGGGAGCTCTCGGCCTCGCAGCCGCTTTCACTCCTGCCCGGACCTGCCGGTCCGGAGGCTGCAGCCCCAGCGCTGCTTCGCCTGCCTCCGGATGGAAACGGGGACGCTTCTGCCCCTCGCGCCTTCTGCGCGCGTACAAAACCTAGGCTGGGTCAAAGCGCAACCCGACCGCTCAGCTTGAGGCAACGGACCCGGGGAGCAAACGCTGGAGCTGCGGGCGTTCGGATCAGGTGCGAGCGCGCGGCAACGAGCCAAGCGCGCGAAGGCGCCGCGGCCGCTCCCCCGGGCGCTTTCACCTCTGCCCTTCGCTATCGCAGGCGGGCAGAAGGTTAACGAACCCCGCTCCGTGAAGCGCATCCACGCGCAGGCCGACCTTCTGGCGAGACGCCGGGGGACTCACCGCTTCGTGTCTGCGGCTTCCTGCAGACGGGGCAAAGCCGTCGCGGCCGGCGGCCGGCGTTTCGACGGACGGGAACGAAACGCGGAGCTGTTTCCCCCGGCTCTGGAGCCGAGGCAGGCCGGCGGTTTGCAGAGGCCGGATGACGGTTGAAGCGCTTAATAGGGACGCTTTTGAGATTAGGGACGGTTATCGCCGGTGCGTTTATTAATGGATTAATAGCCTTTTTAATAGGCTACGCGGGACCGGCCCGCGTCGGAAGCAGGGAAGGCCTCGCCCCGTCCC